CATTCCTGGTAAGCTACCAGAGAGAAAAGACAATCTTGTAGCTAGTTACATTCACCACGCAGAAGTTCTGCAGCACAGGCAGACCTGAGTGTTTGGCACATATAGATTAGTTTGGCTAAGTGGCAATATGGAAGAAATGCACAATATAAACTTCAGAAACAGATCATATTAAAGTGAATACAGATTTGAACACAGATGTGGAAGCGAGACAAGGAAGTTCCCAAATAATGTTTTAGAACATATTGACAAAAAGGAAGCTTGAAAATACACATAAGAAATAGTTGGTGATAATCTCTCAGCAAAAAATTGAATGTTCAAGGAAGGTACAGGTGATGTACATGAAAATACTTGCAGGAGGTTTTCAAAATTTCACCATCTACACTACAGAGATACAAATCCTCACTGAGTAGATTTTTCTCTGGAAATAATTAACTCACTCTGCAATAAACAGATATCCCTCTGTGTAAATAAAAATAAAAAAGGAACATTAGCAATGGTCTAGCAAGCCAATCAACAGACTTAGTAAGAACAGCAAATGGACAAAAGCCAGGATTCAGCTCATGTACCTGCTGCCCACAAACAACTTTGTGTTTCCTTCAAGTCCCTTTTCCTGAAAAAGTCTGCAGAGCTGTGAAATGAATTTTAAGATCCATATGGTGCATTTCTGAGCAAGTTAAAAAAAAAAAAAAAAGAAAAAAAAAAAAGAAAGAAGAAAAAAAAAAAAGAGTATATATATTGCTTCTTTGTAGTACTTGAACCACCAGGAAGAGAAAAAGCCACAACCAGTTTTGAGAAAAATGAAATTACATGTATTGGGCTATGAATAACAGTGGTTTAGATCACAACCACAACTTGACTACATTAATATGAAATCTGTCGGCATTTAAAGATCACAGGGAAGCCCTGTAAAATTAAGTCTAGAGACATTTCAGATGTATTATGTGTACAGACTTTCTTGTGAGTATGAAAAAATATTTTGCTACAGCAGATTTCAGGACTCATCTGATTTACACTATTCATGCTAATATTATGAACTCTCTCTGCTTTGAGTCCCTCATATACCAGAAATCTGTCCAACTATAATTAAAAGACATTTTAAATACACTGCCAGTTTGTTTTGATGCCATATAAAGTAGCATTTGAACTAAGTATTTATGCAATAGCAATGACACTTAGGAAAAAATATGTAAACTAACTACTTTTTTTTGCTTATCTTACTTTATGTAAAACTACACACAGACCTTTTTTTGAAAACAGCAGTAATAACAACATCAAGACTGCTACTTCAACACAGGATGCCCCAAATTGTGTAGGGCAGGAATTCCTGCACTGAAATACTAACCGTTATTTTTTGGTTAAAGAAAACATATCATAAGAGTAGCATAGGTTTAGAAGTGCCTGTTTTCAATGAAATCTTTCAGTTTCAAATAAACTGTCTCAAGAACTACTAAAGGATTATTCTGATGACATCCAACCTTAGGCATAGTCTATTAACAAACAGGAACATAAACTTACAAAATAGGGTACATTTGACTATGTATGGCATATTTCCAATCAGAAACACTACTAGCACTGTTGTAGCCACTCAATTTTGAATCTAAAAATTACCAGAATGATTTTCTGAATTCCAAGTGTTAGTTCTGTTGCTTTTATGATGCACATACATAAAAGTAAAAAGCTTGAGTATAATAGAATAACAGAATGAGTTTGCTAATTCTGAGAATTAGGAAATACATTTTTAATTCATGGCCTTGGCTGACATGGCAACAGAATCACTGTGAGACAATGGAAAGCTGCAGTGCTATTTTGCATTCACAACAGGACCTATCTGGGGGTCCTAAAATTGAAGGATTACTGTCACATTTCCTCTAACTATAGATAAAATAAAATTACATAGCCAGGCTTTGCATAGTAAGTCTGGAGATCCCTCTGCATTTTCCTCATTAGCCAAAGTTTACAACTGCCTAATCTAAATAAGTGTCATTACACAAACCTACAGTACTTTATATATACTACTAATAAAATCAGTATCTTTTGAATTAACTACTTCTTAATTTATAAATTTAAAAAAAAAAAAAAGTCTGGTAATTGTTGCTGTATGTTATCAACAATTACATGTTTTTCTTTCCTTTTAAAAACATAAAAATGGAAGACTTTGCCTATTTGTACCCTTATTTGCTCCAAGTGATTCACTTTTGATTCTCCTAAAGATATGTATTGGCATTGGAGCAAGCAGGTTCCATAAATCTGTGTCAGGAAATTCTGTGAAAGAGGAAACCAGAGAAATAACTTGGCACAGACATTTGAGGAGGAGATATTTAATCTCAGGTCAAAGAGGAGGTGTTCTTTGAATTTTTAATATTTCTTCAGCTGAGGGGTCAGAAAGCAGGCTTCTCACACCTCTGTTCCTTTACTTAAACTGCTTTATTGCAACACTGATCTGAAAAGCAAATACTCCATGTCTTTTATCAACATCTGTAACCCACAAAAGTCAAGATACATGCAAACATATATCTTGATTGTGGTGAAAAAAACATGTATGTTTATATACTATGTGTGTGTATGTGAAACATACACTTAGAATGTTTTTGTTAGAAGACAATAAGGAACAGAAACAAACTCTCTACTTCTCTAACCTCCACCGCATTCCACAGCAAAGCTATTAGCAAGTAGACGGGTCTGCAGTGTAACGCCTTTAAGTATTGGACAAGACCTCAGCGTGCATAATGTGAAGGTTATTTCAAGAACTGTAAAGTATAAGCTAAATACACTCCTGACAAATTGTAAGTAAGAAATGGCTCCAGCTGCTACTTGGCTTTTAGGACGTGTTACCCTCGCTGGAAGCACCGAGCAGCTTGGAGGAGGAGATCTGGTGTGCGGGGCTCCAGCTGCTCTGGGGCTGTGCTGAACATCTGAGACCCAGGCAGCGCTCGCTGAGCCTTGTACAGCAGAGACCACGGAGAGAAACGTCTTCTGTTAACAGCACTTACTACGACTGCAGTTACAAAAGAAGCCTGGAAAGTTGGGATTTCACGGAAACACTTTTCACAAACGCATTTTATTGTTTTCTCCGTGAGGTCCCGCCCGGCAGAAGCTTTCTGCCCACAGCAACTGCACATTTGCCATCGGGAAGCTGCGAGGAAAAGAGATGTGACCTTACTTTCTCCTTGCGCCAGCCTTCCAGCACCTCGGCGTCGGTGTGCCGGCCGTCGCGGGGGGCCAGGCGGGGCGCCCA